CTGTGTGACAACCTCATCACAAAGACCTGGGCAAGAATGGAATACAAAGAAATGAAGTTGTTGGGTCTTGCTGAAATTACAGTGGTATTAGTCAAAGCTACATTGTTATAAAGTAAAACCTTAGGTGTAATCCTTAGGGAAACCTCTAAGAAAATAACTCAAAAATGTATTGTAGGGCCGGCGCAACGGCTCACTAGGCTAATCCTCCGCCTGCGGCACCGGCACACCGGGTTCTAGTCCCGGTCGGGGCTTCGGATTCTGTCCCGGTTGCTCCTCTTCCAGTCCAGCTCTCTGCTGTGGCCCGGGAGTGCAGTGGAGGATGGCCCAGGTCCTTGGGTCCTGCACACACATGGGAGACCAGGATAAGCACCTGGCTCCTGGCTTTGGATCAGCACAGTGCTCCAGCCATAGCGGCCATTGGAGGGTGAACCAATGGAAAAGGAAGACCTTTCTCTCTGTCTCTGTCTCTCTCTATCCATTCTGCCTGTTTAAAAAAAAAGTATTGTAGAAGAAATTATAAGAATTAAAATGGCATATTAAAAAATACATAGTTAGGGGCCAGCACTGTGGCGTAGCAGGTTAAGCCGCCGCCTGTAATACTGGTGTCCCACATGGGTGCCTGTTTGAATTCCGGCTGCTCCACTTCTGATCCAGTTCCCTGCTAATGTGCCTGGGAAAGCAGCAGAGGGTAGACCCATGTACTTGGGCCCCTGCACTCACAGGGGACACCTGGAAGAAGAGCCTGGCTGCTGGCTTCAGCCTGGCCATTGTGGCCATTTGGGGAATGAACTAGGGGATGGAAGAGTGCTTTCTCTCTCTCTCTCTCTCTCTAATAAATAAATCTTAAAAAAAAATAAATTTTTCCTTTTCATTAATTACATTAAAAATAAATGGGGGGGGCGCACTGGCACTGTGGCATAGTGGGTAAAGTCGCCGCCTGCTATGCCCTCATCCCATATGAGTCCCAGCTGCTCCACTTCTGATCCAGCTCTCTGCTTATGGCCTGGGAAAGCAGTAGAAGATGCCCCAAGTCCTTCGGCCCCTGCACCCATGTGGGAGACCCGGAAGAAGCTCCTGGCTCCTGGTTTTGGATTGGCCCAGCCATTTGGGAAGTAAACCAAGGGATGTGAGACTTCTCTCTGTCTCTCTCTGCCTCTCTGTAACTTTCTGCCTTTGAAATAAATAAACAAATCTTTAAATAAATAAACAAGTAAATGGGAGAATGACATTTGATGTAGCAGCTACGATGCCACTTGGAACGCCCACCTCCTATATCAGAGCACCTGGGTTCAAGCCGCAGCTCTGTTCTCAGCTCCAGCTTCCTGCTAACCTTACCCTTGTAAGGCCATGGTGATGGCTCAAGGAGTCGTTGGGACCCTGCCACCTGACCTGGATTGAGTTCTAGGCTCCTGGCTTCCGCCTTATGTGTGAGGCACTTTAGGGTGCTGGAGAGTTGTGTTTAACACAGTGATAAAAGAAACAAGGTCCTCATGTTAGTCCAGTTTGTGTTGTTGCAACCAAATCCCTGAGCATGGCTACCTTATTAACTAGAGAGTTTATGGTTTTTAAAAATATTTATTTATTTTTATTTGAAAGAGAGAGAGAAGGAGAGCCAGGAGCCAGGAGCTTCATCCCAGTCTCCCATGTGGGTGCAGGGGTCCAAGCACTTGGGGCATCTTGTGGATCAGAAGTAGAGCAGCCAGGATTTGAACCAGCACCCATAGGTCATGCCGGCATTGCAGATGGTGGCTTGCCCCACTGTGCCAGAACACCAGTCCTGGCCTTTTTTTTTTTTTTTAAGATTTATTTATTTGAAAGGCAGAGTGACAGAAACAGAGATCTTCCATTGGTTGGTTCACTCCCTAAATGGCTTCAACAGCCAGGGCTGGGCCAGGCCAAAGACAGGGACTTTTTCCGGATCTCCCACATGGGTGCAGGGGCCCAGGGCCTTGGGCTATCTTCCACTGCTTTCCCAGGTGCTTTAGCGGGGAGCTGGATCTGAAGTGGAACAGCCAGGACTCGAATTGGTGCCCATATGGTATTCTTGCAGGTGGTGGCTTAACCCTCTGTACCACAACTCTGGCTCCCAGTAAAGAGGTTTATTTGACTTTGAACTTTGGTGGCTGGGAATCCACACAGCTTGGCCCCAGCATCCTGGGGAGGGCACCTGGTTGTGACACAGGGCGGAGAAACAGAAAGGGAAGCAGCCACAAGCGGAAGGGGCTGAGGCTTTACAAGCACCTGCTCAGGGCACTGATCTCGTCCCCCAAGAATGGAACTCCCAAGAGACAGCATTCATGCCTTCACAAGGGCGGTGCGGGCCCGCGCTGCGGCTCACTAGGCTAATCGCGGTGCCGGCACACCGGGTTCTAGTCCCAGTCGGGGTGCCGGATTCTGTCCTGGTTGCTCCTCTTCCAGGCCAGCTCTCTGCTGTGGCCCAGGAGTGCAGTGGAGGATGGTCCAAGTGCTTTGTGCCCTGCACCTGCATGGGAGACCAGGAGAAGCACCTGGCTCCTGCCATCGGATCAGCGCGGTGCGCCGGCCACAGCGACCATTGTGGGGTGAACCAACAGAAGGAAGACCTTTCTCCCTGTCTTTCTCTCTCTCTGTCCACTCTGTCAAAAAAAAAAGGGGGGGGGCGGTCCGCCCATCACATCACTCCCTCCTGCCCCTTAGAGCACCCACTACCTCAACACTGAGCCTGCAGCATGCGAGCCCAGGGGACCCACGGGGGCGCACACCATCGCACTGCTCCTCTCACGGGCCTGGCTGCGGGGAGAGCAGACGATAAACGAGTAACCCATACAGCCTGGTGGAGAAGTATCCGCCGTGAGGGGAGGGGCTGCTACCACAGGCGGCGGTTGGAGAAGAGCTCTCTCAGGGTGTGCTGTCTGAGCTGAGACCCGGGTTAGGACAAGAAGCACAATGGGCATAAAGAGCTGACCTGTGGGGAGCAACTCGGACTAGACTAAGTTACTGGAATTAAGACTTATTCTATGCATCTGCTCTGGGAGTAAACAGCTTCTACGCAGCTGCCTCTCGCCAACTTGACTGATGAGCTGCAGGAGCTGATCCTGCTCCTGATTGGAGGAGAGCAGCGTGCTCGGCGTGTGGGCAGCAGAGTTGGGATTGGTGGAGAGGACTATAAAGGAGGAGAGAGACGGCACGGTGGTGTGGGTTGGTTGGAGAGTGCGTTAGAGAGTTCGTGGGGGGAAGTTCGTTGCTTTGTTCTTTCTCATTTCTCTCTACTCATTCTTGCTTTGGGAGCTCGCTGTTTGCTTATTCTTACTTTACTATAGAAAAGACTTGTAAAAGGGGAACAACAAGCGTTCGGTCCGGTGCAGCTCCTCCGCGGAGGAGCAGCACTGACCCAGTAGGGGAAGCGACTTCTGCACCGATGATGGCATGAGCTTGGCCTGCTGGGGCAGTGGGGCTGAGAGAGGGGTGGGGAAGGGGGCACGAGGCAGGGAGGCTGAGGCTGCAGGGGGGGCAGCTGGGGGCATCCTTTCTGTTCCACAAAACCCACCTCATCCAGTGTCCGTCAGGAGAAGACCTGTCCCGGGTTGGAGATGCACAGATCCCACAGGCAAGTCTGGGGGTCGGGGTGAGCGGCTCCGGACAATGAGTTCTGGACTAAAAGTCCTATGGGGAGACCACAGCTCCGGAGCCGGGCCTCTGTGTAAGCCCCGCGGCCATACCAGAGCTCGGTGAGGAGTCAGGCTCACACAGGGACAGGTTGGGGTGCTCAGAGGCACTCCCCTTGGGCAGAATCCCCTGGAACTGACGGCCACATCCCACTTCCTACAGGCTAGTGAGGATTTGCTGGGGCCTGGGGGCAGGGGTCGTGACCTGCACCGTGTTAGGAGTGTGAGAAAGGTCACGGCAGGCGGAGGGCAGGGCAAGCAGCCCTGCTGTCGTCAGTCCCCAGCGGGAATTTCTGTCCCTGGACCGGCAGGGGCTTCAGGCTGTGAGTCAGGCTCTGGGGACTCGCTGGGAGAGGCAAACATTCTTTTCCTCTTTGCTTCTGCAGGCACGGCTCTCATCCAAAAGCCGGACCTGGGACTTGGAGCTGTTGCTGAGTTCAGGCTTCAGCACTGACTTCTAGAACAAAGCAGCATCAGAAGGCGAGCACACCGCAGGTGGAGCTGACTTTCATCAGAAATTCAGGCCCCACAGTGGCCTCTGTTCTGGCAGAACCGGCAGGACCGCAGGCTTTGTGAGGAGGGAACCGGGAAATAGAAAAGTGCGTTGGCTGCCCTCAGGCCACTTTCCCTAAGGGTTGGAGCAGAGGGGGTGCGTTTACTGCCCCAATCTCTCTCTGCTTCTAAAGCAGAGCACTCAGCAGCCGGCTGGGGCCTAGTGGAGACCCCAAACCAGGGCCTCCCAAAATCCGTGTTTACAGGAGAGAAAGCAAATTTACTTGTTATTGGTTAGGAAAAAGAGGCAAGGCTTAGGGGCCCTTGTTGCTACCACCACCTGGCTGGCCCACAGTGGCCTCTGCAAGCTGCAGGGCTCGCGGGGGCGTCCCCTCCCCCAAGACCGCTGTCCAGGCCATCCTCAGCCGCTCAGGTGTCCTCTGGCACTCCCCCCGCCCCCCCCAGTCACCGGGATTCTGTGAAGTGACACTGGTTGCACCGCACAGCATGGCGGCGCAGGGCTCTTGGTTCCAAGTGCAGTATCAACCCTCGAGGATGGCCGTGGAGCAGCAGGGAAGGCGGTGAGTGGTTCTCACCCGGACCTGAGCCTCCTCCCGCCCAGACAGGCATCACACTGGAGAGCACACTGGCACCGGAGGCGGGCAGGGCAGGGTGAACTTCCCCCCAGACTGGAACTCAGCGTATGAAAAGCAAGATGGAAACTGTTCAAAGACCCCTGTTAGACCAGAGTGCAAGGCCATCCAGACAGGGCAGGTCCCCACGATCCCTCAAAGCCCGACTTCACCAGCCGCAAACCACGCGCTTACTTTGGTATTCTCTGCCAAAATCAACACACATGACACACCCGTTTCAATTTTTTATTAAAATACTTTTTGGTTCATAAGGACAACCAAAGAAAAAACACAATTTATATGTTGTAGATCATGTAAAATATAATAAACATAGACCCTGGGGAATGCAGAATAGATTTTAAAATTCATCAAGGAGGTTTCATAAAAACAATATTTTAAAATGACTTATTTGTATTTACATAATTTTCCCAAATATATTTAGTTTCTTTTCTCCTTGTTGATGCTACTTTGGTGAATAATTGTTCAAATGTTCTATCATCTTACCAGTTTTGTTTTCTGAAACTGTGTTCTAAATGAAAAGCTGTCTTTTATGGTATCCTAAGTGATAATTAAATGAAATCTAGTCTGTATATAATTTTACTTGGTATAACTATTATGAACGTAGTACTAGTTAAAAAGTTTTGGGGAAAAACAACAGAAAAACCTGCTACCAAGCACATGGCTTTTATATACAGAAAAGAGCTTTTATATAGGCCTTCATAATAGCCACTGATTTAAAACCTAGTGTTTTTCTGATCTGGCTAAAAAAAAGTGAAAAACCTAATTACTGAATAAAAAAGAAAAAGAATTTTTACCAAAGCATCGATATAGAAGTGAATGGATTTAGAGGGGTAACAGAGGGTATACATTTTAGGGAAGCTATTTTGGCTTCTCAAATGTTATAATTTCAATTTGAAAAAGCTCTGGGATTCCAAACCTGAAATATGTGATAGAACTGGAAATGCAATGTTTTATGCAAACTCTTAGCTGTTTCAGAAATCAGAAAAAATAATCAAAATTTGAATAAAAAAGATTATTCAATTTAGGGACAATTTCTATTAGGAGAGATCAAGGTAAGAAAAATCAGTTAAGGGCACTGTCTGTTAAGAAAAGTAGGAGGAAGAAAAGAGCTATTACATACAAAAACTTAATACTGAAGACCTGAAAAAGATGACCATGAAGTTTTAAAATGTTTGTTGTCACCATTAAGAAAACAGCAAGCAGGCTGACAACAAAGACAAATGAACTGAAATTTCTTTGAAAAAACAGTGAAGCTGAAATGAAGCAGCTGGCTGCAAATTTCTAGAAAAAATTCTCTCGAGTACGAGAGCCCTCTCAGCTTTACAGGCGTTCACAAAGAGGGGGTAAAATGTTTAAGGCACTTCTGAACAGAGGCATTCCAGGGAAAGGAGACCTCAGTGCTTTCTGCCAAAAAGGACACCTTTTTGAAAGACTGATGTACCTTGATCATTCGCTAGAGTTACCCAAAAGAACAGAGAAGGGGCAGGGCTTTAAAATTTAAAATATATAATCATAATATTACAAATGATTTTATAGCTACTGTTCAAGTAAATGAGTAATACAAACTGTATCTGACAGCATTACCTATTTTTATATTCTAAAATATCTAGACATACTAAGAGGTATTCCTAAAAGGTGACCTGCAATTCAAATATGCACTAGAGAAATTAGTGATCTGTAGTCTGTAATATAAATACTTACATTTGGACTGACGCTTGAGGGTGGAGGTTTGTGACTGTGAAGGGCATAGTGTTTAAGCTTGTCCTTCCTGAAATATTATCTAAGATGCTGACTATGCATAGTGTATCTGGAGTGAACATCACCTTGAGAAGGGATTTTAAATATTCATAAGATTCTTAACTTCCCACAATGCAATTATCAGATCTGGATATAAATTTAACAAATGCATGATTACAAAATGACAAAACCAGTGAGCATAAATAGATTTTGTTCGTTTCCCATTATAATTCCCAGAATCCTCTTCTTCAGCGCCCCTCTGATCACTCACCTGTGAGAGAACAGGACTCTTCCTGAGGCTGAGCCGGCGCATTCTCGCCTCCAGCCCGGCCACCGTACAGGGAGACCAGCTGTTTCTCTGGTGCTCTGAGCAGTCTGATTAGCAGTCTCCATCCCCAGTATCCCTTAAGCTGCTACGTTTAGTCACAGAGATGCTTCTACTTGCCAGTGATTTACCTGAGCAGGGGATTTTATGCAACTTCACAGGTGTACCCTGCAATTCTTGGTGAAGACAATTCTTCAACGTCCACGTCAGCATTATGGGCCGAAGGAATGGACGCGAATGAGGACCTTTCCCTCCAGCTTTGTCAGTGTGTGTATTATTAGGATGGAGTCTACCATATACAATTTGTTTGTTTTGTTTTGTTGTTTGGCTATGATGACCCACTATTTATTTTGGTACGAAAAATCAACTGTTTACCCTATAGAAAGTGTCACTTATCTTCACGTTGTTGGAGAGCAAACCTACAGACTAGGAATACTTGCAATGAGTTCCAAGGAAGTCACACAGGCTTTAGAGAAAGGGCATTCCTATTTTGATTCGGATACACAGTGTGGAGGAGGACGTAATCGTCCCCCTCTCTCCTTGATTTTTCCATGATTTTATTAAATCTTCACTGAGAAAGCTAGTGATTAGATGTCTCATAATTATCCTAGAGTCTGGGAAGGGAGGTAAAACAAGCCATCTGAATCCAGCTAGATCATAAAAATACTTGAGTGATTATCCTCTCCTATTTCAGGGAAGGCAGGCTTAACTTTGTATTTCCTATGGGCTACAGGAGGCTTTGAGTTTTAACATGTAGGCTCCTTTTGGTTACAGTTGCAAAAGAAGCCACCGAATTCTTGAGGCTTTGACATGTCTTAGAAAGAAGCAAACCACAACAGATGTGATCTGGATTTGCTTAGATGGACACAGCTGCCATGCTGTTCATGTTGTAATAACCAGGCCTGCGCTGGTCAGCAAGCTCCAGTCAGCTCGTTGGGTTACCGTCTCCAGACCTCGAAGTGATGCACTTGAACTCTCACTGTAGTCACGGCCTCGGCTCCACCCACTGTGTTGATCTCCTCAGACCTGAATGCCCATCAGTCCTCACGAGCAGCAGCAGCCACTGCTTGGTAGAACTTTGCCAGGAAGCCTGGCTCACTGCTCTCCAGCTACCGGACACATTCTCTGCACTTCTGCTTAGCCAGTCTCAAAACCACTGATCCCAAAGACGCAGCTGGCCCTCAAAGATACGGGCGGGCGGTCTGCTCCATGCGCACCAAGCTGCTCCAGGCCACCACACGCTGGCTGTCATTCTGTACTGCTTTAGCTTCTAGGTCCTGTCGGAAAGGTTCTCGTAGGGGACCTGACCAACACTTCACCTCCTGGGAAGGTTCGGCAGACACTGGGGTTGGGAAACAGTAATGTTGCCTGGTACTGAGGGGGAGGGGAGGAGAAGGATGGTGGCATCTTCCCCTTTCCTCTCCATGGTTACCTGGAGATGGCCCCTACAATCCTCAGACTCCAACTCCCACCATGGCTTCATGTTTCCTGAAAACCCTCAACAGGGCCACTGGACAGCCCACGCGCTTCCAGTCCCAGACCAGCCCCAAACACCCACGCATCCCAGCGCCCCGCTCCAGGTCTGGAGACAGCCGAGTAGCTCCAGTTGTGGTTATGCTAGTATCAGGGGTTGCCAGACACATTTGATTCAAAGCCTCAGGGAGAGGCAGATAACCAAGCCAGAAAGCAGGCCAAGGGAGGAAAGCTGCGGGGTGGGCGGAAAGACTGAAATTAAGCTTTTACAATGAGTTTCTGCAAGTTCTCAGAGTGATATATTTGAATATCTACTTATCAAACACATAAACAACATAAGGCACAGTGAAGAAGGCAAACAAGTAACAAGTGTCCCAGGGCAGCACATAGATCATAGCTCACATTAACAGGCTTCCACTAGCACTTCCAAGACAAAAAGTTTCCGTAGAGCTAGAACACGGCGTCGCATATGTTGACAACCTCAGATCTGTGAAGGCATTCTCCATGCACCTGCTTCTAGGATCAGAGCTGGACACGTATTCAAAGGCAAGGGCATACTGCCACTGGGCAATGCAGTCACTAAGAGCAGGCAGAATTAGGGAATTTAACACATTACTGCTTGTCATCCTTGAAAGGAACTCATTCCAAGTTCTGTACGTCTTCTTAACTTGCTGGAGTTCTGGTGCAACCAACAGATTAACTTTCCATACCTTTATTTTGTCTAAATGGCTTTGAGTTGTATTTCTTTGCCTTCTTTAAAACATGCAGTTCATACATTTGACAGTTTTACTCCCATAGTCAATGCACTCCGGACCGATACACTCGCAGCAGGCATTGTGAAACCAGCGATACTTGGATGCCCCCATGGACTCACAGGATATTTTACACTGATGTATGGACATGCAGTCATCAAAGTAAACCACAGTACACATGTGTTCTGAAAAAGCAAAAAGTTAAAAGTTCAGAGCAAGAAAGAGAGAAAATAGGAAATACTTGAATACCCAGTTGCATCTTATTAACAGTTACTCAGCTTAGTTTTCACAGTGCTGCTCTGCGCAGGACAAAGATGAGGGATAGGAAAGAAGATACTCATTTGTTATGACATTGGCAAAAAGTCAGATCCTCCCACTTCAGCTGAAGGCAGCAAAGGGCTGTCCTCGCCTCTTACAACTTTGACATGAGGGGTGATGCCCCTGCTATGCCAACATACCATATGGGCACGGGTTCGAGTCCCAGCTGCTCCACTTCTGATCCAGCTCCTTGCTAATGTGCCTGGGAAAGCAGCGGATGCTGGCTCAAGACATTGGGCCCCTGCACCCAAGTGGGAGACCCTGAAGAAGCTCCTGGCTCCTGGCTTTGGCCTGACCCAGCCCTGGCCATTGCAGCTATTGGGGAGTGAACCAGCAGATGGAAGACCTCTTTTTCTCTCTGTCTCTCTCTCTTTCTCCCTCTCTCTCTGTAACTCTGCCTTACAAATAAATAAAACAAATCTTAAAATAAAAAAAAAGACTTTGTCTTGAAGACTATATTATTGGGCTTAAAAACATTTGCTGTATGATAGAATTGTGTTTTTAAGCTGGGCATTTCTGGTAAGATTTCCTCCAAAGAGGATTCTCCAGTCAAAAGACTTTGAAAAATACTGTTCGAAAGTTAGATTGAGGGGGCCAGCATTGTGGTGCAGTGGCATCCCATATGGGTGTGAGTGTGAGTCCCAGCTGCTCCATTTCCCATCCAGCTGCCTACTAATGCGCCTGGGGAAGCAGCAGAAGACGGCCCAAGTGCTTGTGCCCCTGCCACACATGTGGGAGACCCAGAAGAAGATATTGGCTCCTGGCTTTGGCCTGGCTTAGTCCTGGCATTTGTGGCCACTTGGGAATGAACCAGTGGATGAAGGACCTCTCTCTCTGTCTCTCCCTCTCTCTCTCTTTCTGCAACTCTGCCTTTCAAATAAATAAATGAATCTTAAAAAAAAAAGTTACATCAAGCTTTTATAATAAAATAAAAATTAAGTAATTTGAATGATATAAACTGCTCAGTAATGCTTGACACAAATAAGCGTTAGCTAATAGAAATATTATTTTGTTTAAATATTTATTTATTTGGAAGGTAGAGTGACAGAGAGAGAGGGAGAAACAAGAAAGAGAGATCTTCTATCTGTTGGTTCATTTCCCAAATGCTTGCAATGGCGGGGACGAGGACAAAGACTGAAGCCAGGAATTCCATCCAGGTGTCCTACGTGGGTGGCAGGGGCCCACGTTCTTGGCCATCATCCACTGCTTCCCAGGTGCATTGGAGGCAGAGCAGAGAGGATTCACACCAGTACAGACATCCCAAGTGGCAGCTTAACCTGCTGTTACACAGTCCATTATTATTATCATTATTAAAAATTCCTAGTTCTACTTTCCACTCAGAAAACTACTTTTGATGGTTTCTATTTTGGTTATCCTAGTGGTTAACTCCATATGACTAGCCTAGGTAGAAAGAGAGTACATGAAATAAAGGAGGGTTGGTGTTGTGGCATAGCAGATAAAGTAGCTGCCTGTGGCTTCCCATAGGGTACCAGTTCATGTCCCAGCTGCTCCACTTCTGATCCAGCTCCCTGATAATGAGCCTGGAAGACTGCCCAAGTGCTTGGGCCCCTGCACCCATGGGTGAGACACGGAAGAAGCTCCTGGCTCCTGGTTTTGGACCAGCCCAGCTCTGGCCATTGAAACCATTTGGGGAGTGAACCGGTGGATGGAAAAGCTCTCCCTCTGTCTCTTCCTCTCTCTGTACTCTGCCTTTCAAATAAATAAATGAATCTTTTTAAAAAAAAGAGGACAGGCCGGTGCCACGGCTCACTAGGCTAATCCTCCGCCTGTGGCGCCAGTACTCCGAGTTCTAGTCCCGGTTGGGGCACGGGATTCTGTCCCGGTTGCTCCTCTTCCAGTCCAGCTCTCTGCTGTGGCCAGGGAGTGCAGTGGAGGATGGCCCAAGTGCTTGGGCCCTGCACCCGCATGGGAGACCAGGAGGAAGCGCCTGGCTCCTGGCTTCGGATCGGCGCAGCACGCTGGCCATAGCGGCCATTTTTGGGGGGTGAACCAATGGAAGGAAGACCTTTCTCTCTGTCTCTCTCTCTCACTAACTCTGCCTGTCCAAACAAAAAAATTAAATTAAATTAAATTAAATTCTAAAAAAAGAGGACAACAAAAACCACTAACAGAGTACTTGTTCTCAGGCTGTTGTTTTTCACAGAGCCAGTGACAGAACTGATCAATCACCAGGGATCTGGTAAGTAAAGGAAGGCCTAATGGAAGGAACTGGACCTGCATTAGGAAGAATTAAAAGCAAAGCTCCCAGATAACAAAATGAGGAGAGCCACAAGGAGCTGGGCACTGTGTGCACTAGGCCAGAGTGGAGGCAAGGCCAACTGGAGTGGCCGGGTGCTGTCAGGAAGCCGCCACTGGGCACGTGACGTGGGGACCGTTTAAAGAACCCAGGGAGCAGCACAGCACCAAAGAAAGAGGGGCTGGCAGCAAGCAGGAAGCGGAAGTGCTCAAGTCTTCAAGTGGTTGGAACTTCCTGAATTCATCTATGTACCCAACAAATACTTATTGAACACCACTATGGCTTAGCCATTAGGGACTCAAAGAGACATTAGAGAATCCAAGAAAGTGAGTTGAAAAATGCTAGGCCTGCAATTTTAAAACAGACAATAAATGGAACCCCAAAGGTGGGGAGGAGGAGCGGAGTGGTGAACTCCACCTGTGGTGGGGGGTGTGCTAGGGATGGTGCCGCCGTGCAGAGACTAGCTAGCTCTGTCTGGAAGGATACACTTTCTGCTAATTATTTCATGAACTTAAGCAATTTTTTCAGAAAATTATGAATTATTATTTAATATCTAATGTGTGGATCACTTATACTTTAATAATGGGAAAACTGTAGTAAAAGATCTTATTATTATCACATTCTATATATTTCTGATATTTCCTTAATCCATAATCAATAATTTGCTGTCATAAGTACTTTAACCTAAAAAGAAATGAGTGTTTTTTATCAAAGGCTGCTTTGTTTTTCCTATCAGTGCCCAAAGTCCTGCTCTGCTGCATGCACGGAGGCCTGTGATAGAAGGCGTTACACTGTGAAAGTCGGCTTAATCATTTATTTATGTCTACTTTATTTGAAAGGCAGAAAGAGAGAGAGACAGAAGAGATGTTCCATCTGCTGGCTGACTCCCCCAAATGCCCACAACAGCCAGAGCTATGCCAGGCCGAAGCCATGAGCCAGGAAGCCCATCTAGGTCTCCCATGTGATGTGGCTGGCAGGGGCACGTGTCTGAGCCATCACCTGCCACCTCCCAGGAAGCTGGATCAGAAGCAGAACGGGGCAGCACTAGAAGCAGGCACCCCCATGTGGGACGTGAGCATCCCAAGTGGTGACTTGAGCCACTGTGCCAAACGCCTGCCTGGGGTTTCCTTTCGAGGTGATGAAATGTTCTGGAATTAGACAGTGATCACAGTGGTACAACACTGTTAATACACTAAATTCACTATGAATGTGCACTTTAAAATGCTTAAATTGGTAAATTATATCATTTACACACAATTTGCTTCATATTTTAAGAAATAACCCCAATTCTCATAACTGCTTTATTCTTCTACAGTAAAACTGTATGGTGCTTTTTATTGGAAAATAGAAATGACTTTACATAAATCCACTTGCCCTTTACATTCTAAATTTGTGATACGACCTGATTCTCACTAATAGATGTTCTTTAATACACTTCTCAAGTTTGGGTAAGTCATTCTCATTTAGTTCCTATTTTGACCCACAGTACCCATTTCCAGAGAGCTGACTGGGGTTAATTTATACCTGGAAATGAGGTGTCTGTAAGACCAACTTGGCTGAGATGAAATGTAGATGTAGCTGATGAACTTGACAATACTATTAGGAAAACCTGACTTCCCGGAATACTCTGCGTATTCCCTGATGGGAAGCAATATTGTATTAGGTGAGCAGCACTGCTGCAACCTCATAAAAAGAATAATTAAAACTTAATGGAAGCACATACCAGAATTAGGGGCTGGTGTTGTGGCGTAGCAGGTAAAGCCACCGCCCTCGACACCAGCATCCCATATGGGCACCAGTTTGGGTCTTGGCTGCTCTACTTCTGATCCAGCTCCCAAGAGCTTGGGCCCCTGGAAGAAGCTCCTGGCTCCTAGCTTTGGCCTGGCCCAGCCCTGGCCATTGCAGCCATATGGGGAGTGGATCAGCGGATGGAAGATCTCTTGATCTCTCTGTCTCTCCCTCTCTCTAAAGCTTTCAAATAAATAAATAAACCTTTTTAAGAAACACCAGCATTAGGAGCGGTGTTTATTTTTCTAGTATGGCCTTTACTGCCAGGAATATGTGCTGACATGTTTTCCTGTTTACTCAGGCATCAGGGTTACTGAAATCTAGAATTTACTTAGGACCATACAAACTTAAAACCAAAAATCTGCTCCAAAAGCTAATATAGATTTTGTAAACCGTGTGAACAGACCACAGGAGGGGCGGAGTAGCAAAAGCCAACCGCTGGTGGTTACCTTTGTCACTGGAATACGGCGCGTGAACGTTATTGCTGGGGACAGACACGTTTTGGTGGTGTGGCTGGTTCACAGTTTCTAAAAACGAAACCAGATTCTCATGATGGGAAAGCTCTTCTGCAACAGGGAAGGAGACGATGTTCCAGTTCAACTGAGTGTCTCCTTCCGTGAGCGCCCGGAAGAGAGAAGGGATGGGCTCGTGGAGCTCCTCCACCGTGCTCTTGGACGTCGGCGGCGTGTCGCTGTAATTCCGGGGATTGCACATACCTGGAGGGGCGAGAGGGCAGAGAGGAAGAAAACTGATTTTTCTCACTGACTGCGACATCATGAGGTTTTGTCAGTTACTGCCTTGCGATCAAAGCTCCACCGAGTTAAGATAACGTGACATCTGGCCGGCGCCGCGGCTCACTAGGCTAATCCTCCGCCTAGCGGCGCCGGCACACCGGGTTCTAGTCCCGGTCGGGGCGCCGGATTCTGTCCCGGTTGCCCCTCTTCCAGGCCAGCCCTCTGCTGTGGCCCGGGAGTGCAGTGGAGGATGGCCCAGGTGCTTGGGCCCTGCACCCCCATGGGAGACCAGGAAAAAGCACCTGGCTCCCTGGCTCCTGCCATCGGATCGGTGCGGTGCGCCGGCCGCAGCGCGCCGGCCGCGGCGGCCATTGGAGGGTGAACCAACGGCAAAAGGAAGACCTTTCTCTCTGTCTCTCTCTCTCTCACTGTCCACTCTGCCTGTCAAAAACAAAAAAAAAAAAAAAAAAAAAAAAAAGATAACGTGACATCTACCACGACGTGTACATATTTTGCTGTTTGTTTGTTTGGCTGAGGGGACCTAAAAGTGATGACACTCCAACCCAATAGCTCTGAACACACCAATGACGCAGATCATGTTTTGTAAACACCCATCTTCCACTAGCAGAAACACAGCCCCTTGGAGAAAAGGCTTATTCCAGGGCTGGGGCAGGACAAGCACAGATGAGCCAGAAAACAAGGAAACGCTCAGTGAAGGAAGGGGTGTGTGGAAAAGACACAAGACGCAAACAGAGGGGACTCCCACCAACTAAATCAATAATTTGAGCATTAAGATAGTAACAATGGATGACCACCCTGGCAATAAAGCAGGATTTGCTGAGATCTGGAATGAAGGAAACAAAACCACCACTTGGCCCCTCACAAAGGTGGTTTGACTCTGACGGAACTCTTCAATGCCTGCTTAAGGCTGGTGGGTGGAACTTGGATGAGGAACATACTGATGTATTCTCCACAAAGTACCTATCAGTTGCACACAGGTTGATAATCACTTTAATGCACAGAAATCTTGCAGATATGGAAATGATCAGGAGGTCAAGGTTAGGACCCAGCAATGGGACAGGCTGATGCTGTGTCACCTGGCATAAAGCATATAGTGTCACTTCGGTGATGATGATGTTGCCAAGAGTGTGTGACTTCAGTCTGGCTGTCAGTCGACATCAAGAGGTCCAAGGCTGAGGATCATCCCACACAAGGTGAGTTCTGTACTTTTTAAAACCATCAAGGGAAAGATGGACTGTCTCAGACCTGAGAGGTTTCAAGAGACAGGACAGCTAAATGCATCACTTACTCCTAGGTAATATCTTGGACCATAAAGGAACAAAAGATACCCTTGAAACAGCTGGTGAAATATGAGTGGGATTTGCAGAGTGGGTGGCCATGTGGTAGCAGTGTTGGCAGTCTGATTTGCAGAGTTGTATGCAGCTTATATAGGACAATGTCCACGCTGCTGGAAAACACAGACTGGTGTGTATAGTTGTGATGGGACATGATGTGTAGAACTTGCTTTCAGAAGATTCAAAGGAAGATGAGTGTGTGTGTGCATGTGCGTGTGCGGAGAGAGAGAGGGAGAGAGAGAGAGGAAGAGGGAGAGAGAGAGACAGGGAGAGAGAGAGGAGTATTGAGCAATGCAGCAAATGCATAGCTATGGGGAGGGCCTTTGTACTCTTCTCACAAATCTATACATCTCAAATTACTTAAAAATAAATTATTAAAAAAAAAGAACAGTGACTAGAGAGAATGGGAGACAGTGCGTATGAAAAGCTTTTTTAAGGAATTTTACCATAAAGAAGAGAGTGAGAAAAGCACTCGGTCAGCCCCAACTACAAGCTGTCTGGCCAGACGTGGTACGGAGGGGCTACCCCCACGCCATGCAGCCCAAATGTGGACTCCATGAGCTGTTGCTTTCTTCCGCTGTGCTTTGCTGTAGGCTGTAGAACTAACGCAACTGGAGCAGAGCCCTCAGGGTCTCCTTGTGCAAATGTCATACTTTTAAAAAACTAAATTATGTTTCATTTTTGGTTAGTATCTATTAGGCATAATACAGAAATTCTTGTCTTCCTCAGATTAAAACTTTGAAAAGGTTAAGCAAATGTATGAATTCCTTGATTTTCAAATTTAGGGCGGAGGAAAAATCATGTCATTTGTTTTCCACATCCTGGAAGTCTTAAGAAACGTGGCAAGAGCTGACAGTAAAGCTGTGCATGTTGTGCCCAGCACTTAGCACTGCTGAACTTGAACAACCTGGAATGTATGACAGAATCCTGGATTAAATGATCCAATCTGACCTCTTTCTTCATAAATGAGGAAACACGCCCAGACATGTTAAATGTCTTGTTCAACATTCTATAATCTAGGACATGATTCAGCCTCCTGTTCTCACCTCCACTGTTCTAATAACCACATCCTCTAAATAGGCTTTCAGTGGCATCAAAAAGCAAAGACTCAGAATGCTTCTATTCTATTCTATATTCATGACATAGTTTTCTGCCAGAGTCTATGATGAATGGAAATTAGAAATCAGAGATAAAAAAGCAAACAACTAAGTTCAAAGGCTACAGCTAAACTCCCATTGAACACTTTAAAAGAAACTCAGGGGCTGGCACTGTGGTGTGATAGATTAGGCCGCTTTCTGCAATGCTGGCATCCTACACTGGCTGCTCCACTTCCAATGAGCCTGGGAAAGCAGCAGAGGGCAGCCCAAGTCCTTGGGCCCCTCCTCCCATGTGGAAGCCCCAAAAGAAGCTCCTGGCTCCTGCCTTTGGCCTGACCCAGTCCTGGCTGTTTGCAGCCATTTTGGGGGTGAACCAGTGGATGGAAGACTTCTCTGTCTCTGCCTCTGGCTCTGTAACCCTACCTTTCAAATAAATAAAAAATAAAGAAAGAAAGAAAGAAACTTCAGTGCTCATTATCATAGATTTATAAATTTTTATTTTAGAATTTTCTGCATTTAACAAACTTAGGCCAAAAATATGTGTAATTTAAATCCCAATGCACTGAATTAAAACCAATAAGCATTCCCAGCTCCAGTTCAACCAGTTCTAGCTTCTTGCTAATGCTAATGCAGATGCTGGGAGGTAGTAGTGACGGCCCAAGGACTTGGGTTCCTGCTACCCACACCTGTTGTCACCATATATTTGAAAACTAAGGATGCATGAAAAGTAGTTTACGTGACAAAACCATAGTTTAGGATAGGAGTTAGGATAAAGGGGGGAAAAGTTATTACTCTCTTGGATGAAGGTGCAGGTTGAATGACGGCAGCCAGTCCCAAAGAGTCAGACTGAAAAGCCAACAGTCTTCTCCACTCCCCCGCGAGCCCACTCCCAGACACAGCCACTGCACAGGTTTGTCTTCAAGTTTTTCTGCTCATTATCACCACAAGAATCTCAATACAAAGACTAAAGTGTGGGGAGCAATCCGGACTAGACTGAGTTACTGGAATTAAGACTTATTCTATGCATCTGCTCTCCCACAATATGGCGCTGGGAGAGAAGTAAACAGCTTCTGCACAGCTGCCTCCAGTTCAACCAATAAATTGTAGGACTTGCTCCTGATTGGAGGAGAGCAGCGTACTCGGCGTGTGGGCAGCCGAGTTGGGATTGGCAGAGGACTATAAAGGAGGAGAGAGACGGCATGCACCGGGAACATCTAAGGGGAACATCTAAGGGGAACACCTGTGCAGCCCCCGAGAGAGCCGGCCGGCAGTGTGCCGCTCCCCCGCGGAAGTGGGGAATGTGGCCAGGGGGAACCGCCCTTCCACGGAGGTGGAAGGGATAGTAGCCAACCCGGGAAGAACCAGCAGCAAACCCGGGGAGGGCCGAGCAGACGAAAGAACAGCGCAGGGTCCTGTGTCGTTCCTCCACGAAGACGGGGAGCGACATAATGGTGCCGTGACTCGGATATGAAGCCTAGGCAGGGCTTAGTGTCGTTCCTCCACGAAGAGGGGGAGCGACACTAAAGGATCAGTAGAAACTTCTTTAGATGATTATCTATGAATCCTCTCATAGGAAAGATAAAGATTAGATTCATCTGTACTAAAAGCATCTCTCTCCCATATTCTAAAAATTGTACTATAACACTGTAATTTATTTCCTTTTATTCTTAAGTATACTTAAGCTTCTTAAATTATTCCAGTTCTTTTAATTCCCTCATTTTTGGATACAGATATGGGAACTCTCCTCACTACCCACCACCACCTCCCAGCTTCTCCTGACTTCTGTTTTGACAAACTTGATAATTACAATTGCATCACACATATACAATGAGTCTTGTCTTACACACGCTTTCAAAAATTGACAACTAGTAAACAGTAGTTACCTTAATGTTGTTTACAGTAAGGTCTGTCAAAGGACCACGGACAACATTTTTGATTTCAAAATGAATGAACTTCTCTTTGAACTTTATAAAATACTGAAAACAATGCTACATTTCACACAGCACAGCCTGTGAATGCTTCTTGGCAAGGCATGTTGAACCTGAAACTAATCAAGCTCTTACAGTTAACTTCAAATTACTAGAAATACAGCAGGATACTGGAACAACTTAAAAGATACCTCAGGAAATAGTAAATCCTGAATATGGACAGTCTACAGTTTAAGTGAGTGTCTCCAAAATGTCAAATGGCCTGGGAAGAAAAAAGGATGGTCACTCTGGCTTAAAGACATAACAACTAGATGTAATACAAGGACCTTGTCTGGATGAATTTAAACAAGTCATTATAAAAACACATTTTTAAGACATCTGGTAACAGCTGATCATGAGTCGAATTTTAGGGTATACCAAGAAATTACTGTCAACTGTTAGGTGTCATATGTCATTGTCATTATTATTATTAGAAAAGTAAATGTTCATTTTTTTAAAGAAATTGACACTGAAAACTGTAGGGCAAAAATTCTCCCTGTCTGTAATTTGCTTTTAAATACTTGCACAAAGAACAAGAAAGATAACACAAATGTGGCGTATTT